TCACCGGGGAACGACCGGACCATGCGACTCCACGGGGGGGTGGGGGGACGCTGCCGCTGGGTCCGCCCGAGCGGCCGGGCCGCCCCCAGCGCGGCCGTCCGCGCCGCTCGGGCTCCGGCCCTGGTCCGAGGGCGGCGGGGCCGGCGAGCCCTGCGCTGGGGTGGGGGGGGGGAGCCGGCGCCCCCGGACCGAGGGTCCCGGAAGTCCTCGGCCAAGGGGCCAGCAGGGGCCAGAGCGACTCCGGACTGAGGCCTGGGCGCCCAGGGCCTGGGCGAGGGGTCCGCAGAGCTTGGGGGATCCCCAAAAGGCGGGGTCCAGGGGAGCACCGGCCCTTGCGTGAGGATCCGGGTAGAGGCCTGGGTCCCGCCCAGGGGGAGGGGAGCGATAGGTTAGGGGAGCGCGGATGCCGGCCCGCGAGGAGACCCTGGGCAGTCTCGGCGGGGAGCGAGACAGGGACCAGGTTCTGAGGCTGGGAGGGTCCAGGCGTCCCCGGAGGGCGCGTTAGAGGCCTCGGGCATTCAGTCAGAGGGAAAGGCGCCTGCTGCTCTCCCGGTGATGGGGGGACTAGGAAGAGGCGCTCCCAGGGACAGTGGGCAGGCCTGGGCCTTCCCACAGATGCGGGGGCGGAAGGAAGGAGTGAGGAGGGTCGGGGTCTGGGGGGCCGGGGGAGATTGGAGCAGCTCCCGGTGGAGAGGAGGGCAGTCCGGTGTACCGGGGGCTGGAGGGAAGATAACTGAGGGAAAGATGAAGGTGCCCCTGCTTTGACACAGGGCTGGGCCAGGTGTGTACTGGAGGGGTAAGGAGAGGTGAGAGCAGCGCGTGACTGCGTGTCTTGGCCAGTGGCCCCCAGAGTAAGACGCGTGCGGCTTGATGTTCCCATCAGAAGGCGGCTTGGCTGTTCGAGAAGCAGGGGAGCCCTGGGTTCTTTAAACAAATGAGAGAATTTTCAAAACCACTTCTTAACAAGAGCTTTGAAGTTTTTTTGTGAAATGTGGTTTTCCTCTTTGCCTGCAGGGTTAGGGAAAGGGACTACTGGATAATTGTAAGCTTAGAGGGATTCTCTTCTGAGAGTTCCTGAAGTGCATTTGGGGAACTTATTGTTAGATCGTCTCTCCTAAGTTGTATACAAATTAGTTATACTTAATGTCTACTGACTTAAATGATTCCCTTTTCAATCATTTACTTTAGCCAACACATTGAATAGCTAACTTCTATTAAGTTTGGCCCTCACTTTGGTCCTGCCCTAAGGAGAAGTCTCCTGGACTCTAATGGGATGATTCTCCAAAGAACTCTCTATCCCATTGCTTTTCCCCAAACACCTACTTAGTGTCTCTCCATTCTGTGATTTACAAGGGACTTCGTTTGCTCTGGATGCTTCCCCCACTGTGATTCTATGTAATCTGTTGGCTTTGTTACATTTGGTAGCACTCTGGATCACATACTAAAAGTATGAGGAGGAAACAGGGATGGGACCGAGAGTTTTTTATTTTTATTTTTTTTTAAGAGAGCGAGGGACAGAGAAAGAGATGTTCCATCCATTATTTCACTCCCCAAATGGCCACAACGGCTGGGGCAGGTCGGACTGAAGCCTGGAGCTTCATCTGGGTCTCCCACATGGGTGCAGGGGTCCAAGCACTTAGGCTACCCTTTGCTGGTTTCCAAGGCATATTAGCAGGGAGCGGGATTGGAAGTAGAGCAGCTGGGACTCACACCAGCGCCCATATCGGGTAGGTACACTACAACACTGGCCTGGGGTCTGGGAGTTTTGACTTTTAAGTAATAATAGGTTTTTTAATTTGGAAATTTCTTGAGAATAGGCAGTCTACAAAAGTTCGAGTAGGAACACATTTTGGAGTTAGAAAACTTCAGATTGTTTGGCATTTATTCTTTTCAACTCCCAGTTTCAGTGTTCCTGCAATCATGTGACACCTGTGGTTACTTCAAACCTAGCACCTTGTCATATTTCAGACGTTGGCTTTCAAGACACAAAAATTGATAATCCAAATAGGTCAGATATCACTTGTTTAATGTTCTGAGAGCGTATGTGAGCAATTATGTGCTTACTTTGAACACATCCTTTTTGTCTTTGTAAGTAACTACAAAATAATTCTTTTCTTAAAAATTTGACATACTTCCTTTGTGTGCATTCCCCTAGAATTACGAAATGTGTGATTTCACCGTGTATACTCTAGGGTCCCTTCCACAAAACACCCAGAGGACCAACTCCCCCATCTTGCCTCCAGAGTTTTTGTTGCTATAAACAAGAGCTAGTTTTCAGTTTACATTAGACTCTTAAGAGATGACCTTCCATTTAAGCCAGTGTAGTCTACAGAGCTGGTTTCTATCACTAGGAAGATAGTATTTAGGGTAATGAAGATATTCAACCCAAACCTGCTTCCCTAAAGAATAAATGAATTGCCATGTTGAATCAGACTCCTGTCTCTGAAACTGAGCATTGTGAATGGTTATTGTCTTCTCTGATAAACTCTCAGAAGCTTAGAAGAACAGCCAGCACATTCCTCTTGGGTTCCAAGGTGTGGGAGGGGTCAGAAGTAAAATATGAGTTCCTACTGAGGAAGCATTAATCAAGCTAGTCAACCATTTATTCAGAATGTCTTAGAGGGGACTCAATCTTAGGGTATAAGGTTGAGATGAGAAGCATCCTTCTAATTGTGCTTCTATAACCCATTAATTTACCTAAGCTGCTAAGTTTTTAAAATTTATAGTACTTTTTTGGAGTAATAAATAGCTGTCAACTTATGACTCCCTCCCCCCAAAAAAGGTGCTTTAAATTTTCAAAAGCTAGTATTAGCATGTAGCAAATTTATGGAATATTTCTTACTCCAAAAAGGTACTTTCAAAAAATTTAAAAATCAGTGGCTTGGCTTAGCTAAATAATGGGCTATGGAAGCAGAATTAGAAGGATGCTTATAATTTCAGTCTTCCACGCTAAGGTTGAGTCCCCTTTGTGATGTTCTGCTTAAGTGATTGGCTAGCTTCCTCATTAATACCTTCCTCAATAAAAAGTCTTATTTTATTCCTTATCCTCCCAAATCTTACAACACAAGAGGAATGTTCTGGCTGTTCCTCTAAGCTGAGAGATTATCAGAGAAGATCATTTAAGTTAAATATGTCATAGTAACAGAGCAGTATTTAGGTGTCTAATAAATGTTAGCTTGATGAAGATAATTTTTTCAGGTTATTTACTTATTTGAAAGATAGTGGCAGGAAGAGACAGATCTTCCCATCTACTGTTTCATTCCCCAAATGCCCACAGCAGCCAGGGATGGGCCAGGATGATGCCAGGAGCCAGAAACTCCATCCAAGTCTCCCACATAGGTGACATGGACTCAAGTACTTGAGCCATCATTTTCTGCTTTCCCAGGTACATTAGCAAGGAGCCACATCCAAAATAGTTCCAGCCTGTGGTACAGCAGGTTAAGCCGCTGCCTGCGATGTTGACGTCCCATATTGGAGCACTTGTTTGAGTTCTGCTTCTAATATAGCTCCCTGTTAATGCTCCTGGGAAAGCAGTAGATGATGGCTCAAGTAGTTGGGCCCTTGCCACCCACATGGGAGACCCAGATGGAGTTCTGGCTCCGACTTTGGCCTGGCTCAGCCTTGGCCATCGTGGCCATTTGGGAATTGTGCTAGGCATAGGGGAGCTGCTGAATAAGAAAAGCAGTTCTGGGGCAGGCATTTGACCTAGTGGTTTAAGATACCAATTTGCATGCTTGCATCCCATATTAGTGTTTGGGTTCAAGTCCTTGCTTTACTCCTGACTCCAGATTCCTGTTAATGTACACTCTGGGAGGCAGCAGGTGATGGCTCAAGGAGTTGAGTCCTTAACACCTAGGTGGGAGACCTCAATTGAGTTTCTGGCTCTGGCCTGGCCCAACCTTATCTGTTATGGGCATTTAAAAATAGGAGTTTTCCTTTTGTCTCTTTCTCTCTGCCTCTCAAATAATAAGAAAGAAAAGCAGTCCTTGCTTTCCCAGGATATACAGTCTGATGGGGAGAGGTGGACAGAGTGGTGGTTATGCTAGGGTACTGCAAGTGCTGAGGGAGGAAGAACACCAGCTCAGATTCACATGAGGAAGTCACAGAAGACCTCCACATGAAGTGGAGTGTGGGCCGGTGCCGTGGCTCAATAGGCTAATCCTCAGCCTTGCGGCACCGGCACACTGAGTTCTAGTCCCGGTTGGGGCACCGGATTCTGTCCCGGTTGCCCCTCTTCCAGGCCAGCTCTCTGCTGTGGCCTGGGAGTGCAGTGGAGGATGGCCCAAGTCCTTGGGCCCTGCGCCTGCATGGGAGACCAGGAGAAGCACCTGGCTCCCGGCTTCGGATCAGCGCGGTGCGCTGGCCGCAGCGCAGCCATTGGAGGGTGAACCAATGGCAAAAGGAAGACCTTTCTCTCTGTCTCTCTCTCACTGTCCACTCTGCCTGTCAAACAAACAAACAAAAAAAGAAGTGGAGTGTGAAAGCAGTCGCCAGAAGAAGTAGACAAAAAGGAAGGGAATGTAGGAGACCTGGATGGAGTTCTAGGCTCCTAGCTTCGGCCCGGCCCGGCCTGGCCTTGGCTGCTGCACGCATTTGGGGAGTGAGCCAGTGGATGGAAGATCTCTCTCTTTCTCAAGAGGTGGCTTAATCCACTGTGCCACAGCATCCTCCTTGGCAAAAGGTTCACATGTGAGAATCATAAAGGGCAAAAATAGAAGCCAGATATGAGGAACTTTAACTAGGTCATGTACAAACAAAAATTAATTGAACCAGGCAATGTGGCATAGTGGATAAGGCTGCCGCCTACAATGCTGGTGTCCCATATGGGTGCCGGTTTGTGTCCTGGCTGTGCCACTTCACATCCAGCTCCCTGCTAATGTCCCTGAAAGTGGCCACTTGGGGTTGAACCAATGGAAAAAGACTTTTCTCTCTCTCTCTCTCACTGTCTGACTCTACCCGTCAAAAAAAAAAAAAAAAAAAGGATTGATGGGGGAACTGACATTGTGGTGTAGTGGGTAAAGTCGCTGCCTGCAACACTGGCCTTCCATATAGGTGCTGGTTTGAGTCCTGGCTGCTCCACTTCTGATCAAGCTCCCTACTTGGGAATAGCAGTGGAAGATGGCCCCAGTGTTTGGGCCCCTGCACCCATGTGGGAGGCCCAGATAAAGCCCCTGACTCTTGGCCTTGGCTTGGTCCAGCCCTGGCCATTGTGAACATTTGGGGAGTGAACTAGAGGATGGAAAATTCTCTGTCCCTCTGCCTCTCCTGCTCTAACTCTGACTTTAAAATAAATGAAAATAAATCTTTAAAGAAAGTCTTTAAAAATTAAAAAAGTGGCTAACTTGTACTATGGGAGGGGGTACACAGATTTTTAGAGAAGACAGAGCACCTGTCCACATAGAGGATGCAGTGTAGGTACAGTTAATTGTATTTTTTTGAAAGGCAAAAAGAGAGAGATGTTTTCCATCTGCTGGTTCACTCCTCAGATGCCCACAACAGCCAGGTCTGGACCAGGCCAATCTAAGTCTCTCACATGGGTGGTAGAGACCCAAATACATGGACCATCACTGGGTGCCTCCTGGGAGGTGCACTAACAAGAAACTGGCATCAGGAATGGAGCTAGGACTTGAATCCAGTCTGATAATGGGATACAGGTATCTCAAGCGGGGATCTCAACTATTATGCCAAGTGCTCTCCTCAAATGCACAGAAACCTGCAAGTATATTATCATATGTTCAGAGAGCAGTGGGTGATTGCTATGGCTAGAGCTTAAAATATTTGGGATATGAGTAGTTGTATGTAAGACTGGAGAAGTATCTTGAGATCAATGAGGGAGACTTTAAATGCCATTCCTAAGTATGTATATTACAGGCAAACAGGCACTGTGGCAGAGTTGAAGTGTAAATTAAGTCGTCTGACTACCAGTTACGTATTCTAGTTTGCATGCATTGTGTGCCTGCTTTGTTCAGGCACAGTCCAAGTGGTCTTCACATACTCACATATTGAAGTAAATATGGCTGTACTCTTACTTATACTTTTCTTAAGTGATTCTCTCTTTATAACTGTGAAGACTAACAGATGCAGAATATCCTGGCGCCTTCTGTTTTCATTAATATGGGACAATGCATTTGCAACAAAATGGAGGAATCTGGAAAACATCATGCTGAGAGAAATAAGCCAGTCCCAAAGGGACAAATATCATATGTTCTCCCTGATCTGTGACAACTAACTGAGCACCTCAAAGGAAACCTGCAGAAGTGAACCTGACACTATGAGAAACAATGTCTTGATCAGCCCTTGTCCAGTCAAGGAACAGCTTACTATTTTAATTCTTTTTAGTATTTTCTTTTTCTACTTAATACCATTGGTTGAACTCTTTAATTAACACACAATTATTCTTAGGTGTTTAAAGTTAACTGAAAATTGATCCCTGTTAAAATAAGAGTGGGAATAAGAGAGGGAGGAGATGTACAGTACAGCACATGCTCACTCGGACTTAATCCTAATTGTAGAGCTAGAAACATGCCATGGGACTCCAAATCCCATTAAGTTGGCATGTACCAATGCCATCTTACTAAAGTGATCAGTGTAAGTTCATAATTGATTTTTTTTTTTTTTTTTTTGGACAGGCAGAATGGACAGTGAGAGAGAGAGACAGAGAGAAAGGTCTTCCTTTTCTGTTGGTTCACTCCCCAATGGCTGCTGCAGTCAGCAGGCTGCAGCTGGCACACCGCACTGATCCGAAGCCAGGAGCCAGGTGCTTCTCCTGGTCTCCCATGTGGGTGCAGGGCCCAAGGACCTGTGCCATCCTCCACTGCACTCCCGGGCCACAGCAGAGAGCTGGACTGGAAGAGGGGCAACCAGGACAGAATCCGGCGCCCCAACCGAGACTAGAACCCGGGGTGCCGGCACCACAGGCGGAGGATTAGCCGCGGTGCTGGCCCATAATTGATCTTAAAGATAGGATTAAGTGTTTAAGGGATCACATAAATAAGACCAGTGTCTGTTAATAATAATTTATACAATTAAAAAGGAGAGAATTACCAAACATGGAAAGCGCGATACACAGCAGACTCATAGAATGGCAAATGCCCTAATCAGCATTCTGGCCTCAGAATCAGCCCTTAAGGCATTTGGATCTGGCTAAAAAGCCCATGAGAGTTTCTCAGGCAGGGAAAGCCAAGACACTGTGGCAGAAAATGACCTAAATGAAAGATCTCTGTGAGTGAGATCCCAGAGGAAAGAATGGGCCATCAAAGAAGGAGGTACCAATCTCTGAAGGGAGGAGAGAACTTCCACTTTGATTATGGCCTTGTCTAAATAAGGTCGGAGTTTGTGAACTCAAGAGGCTTCCATAGCCTTGGCAGCTCATACCAAGAGCCTTGGGTGACTACTGACGATAAATAAGAGTGTCAATTGTTAAATCAACAACAGGAGTCACTGTGCACTTACTCCCCATGTAGGACCTTTGTCCTTAATGTGTTGTACTATGCAAATTAACGGTAAAACTAGTCTTCAAACAGTACTTTATACTTTGTGTGCTGTGTGGGTGTAAACTGTTGAAATCTTTACTTAGTATATACTAAGTTGATCTTCTGTATATGAAGATAATTAAAAATGAATCTTAATGAAGAATAGGATGGGAGAGGGAGTAGGAGATGGGATGGTTTGTGGGTGGTAGGGTAGTTATGGGGGGAAAAACCGCTATACTCCAAAAGTTGTACTTTCAAAATTTATTAAATAAAAGTTTTCTAAAAAAAAAAAAAAGATTGGGACATTGGGGACCAGTGATATAGTGCAGTAAATTAAGCTGCCACCTGGAATGTTGGCATCCCATGTTGGAGTGCTGGTTCAAGTCCTGGCTGCGTTGCTTCTGATTCAGCTCTCTGCTAATGCTGCTGGGAAGGCAGTGGAAGATGGACCAATTACTTGGACCCCTGCCACCCACATATGAGACCTGGGTAGAGTACCAAGCTCCTGGCTTCCCTCTGGCCCAGCCTCAGCTTTTGCAGCCATCTGGGGTGTGAACCACTGGGTGGAAGATCTCTTTTTCTCTTTGTTTCTCCCTCTCTCTTTGTAATTCTGCCTTTCAAATAAGTAAAATAAATATATATTTTTTAAATATTGGGACAATACTTTTGAGTTACTTTTTTTTTTTTTTTCTTGTTTATTTGAAAGGCAGAGAGAGAGAAGAGAGGGAGAGATCTTCTATCTGCTGGTTCACTCTCAAATGCTCCAACAGCCAGGAGTAGGCCAGGCTGAAGCCAGTGGCCAGGAACTCCATTCGGGTCTCCCATGTGGGTGGCAGGAACCCAAGTACTTGGACCATCATTTGCTGCCTCTCAGGTATATTAGCAGGAAGCTAGATCAGAAGCATGGCATAGGTGGGACGTGAATGAGGCACTCCAATGTGGGACACACTTGGGTATCCCAGGTGGCAGCTCAACCTGCTGCACAACACCTGCCGTGCTTTGAGTTACTTTAGAATCAAGGAGTACGTGGTGCTAGACGCTGGTTTCCTCAGTAGCTCTGTGAGGATGTCGTGGAAGATTATATGTGTTCAATCTGAGACAAAGGGGTATTAAGAAGTTCCTAGATGTCATGTGTAAATTGACTTCAGCCTTTATTAGAGATCTTCCCAATGCCAGTCATCAGTCCCCTTACCATCCAGATCAGTTGAGTTAATTAGCAGATTCTTTTTAAGTATTTACAGAAGACAGAGCACTTGGTAAGGTATTATGACTAACTTCACAGAATATAGATAACATTCCTACTGTCCAGGAGCAGTGGGATGGGACTTGTGTTGACTGCATCCACATTTTGGAAAACAAAGGAACAAACCCTGGTTTGTAGTGCTTGTCAATTTCTGTGGTGTGTGTATTTCACACATGGCTGTCGCGGTCTACCAACTTGCTGTCACTATACTCTGCATTGAGATGAGAGGCACACAGTGAGTTCTCAAGAGCATATAGAGCTGGCTCCAGCTCATCACTAGGTGAGTCACACTAAGAAAATCTGTAACAGCAAGTGAGTGCCAAGGCATTCCTGAAAGATCTGAGCCTATGTCAGCTCCTTCTCCTAGTTTCTGTCCTTTTTAGAGGACCATGACCTCCGGGGTAAGCATAGAATCGGTAGTCATCGTCTTGACATTACCTTCCTGTGGTTTCCATCATTTCAAAACAGATGAAATTACTGGTGCTTCTTGTTTCTGACAGCAGCCCCAGCTGTTTGACTTCATGTGAAAGATGGCTAATGCAGAAGTGAGCGTCCCAGTGGGGGATGTGGTTGTGGTACCCACAGAAGGAAATGAAGGGGAGAACCCTGAAGACACTAAAACCCAAGTGATCTTGCAGTTGCAGCCTGTTCAACAAGGGTAAGTGGCCAGAGATATGGATATTCTGAAAAACTGGGGAAGTGTGGTTTTTTTTAAAAGACATTTATTTATTTGAAAGACAGAGTAAGAGAGAGAGAGACAGAAGAGGAGAGATCTTCCATACACTGGTTTGCTTCCCAAATGGCCACAGCAGCTGGGGGCTGGGCCAGGTAGAAACCAGGAGCCAGAACTCCATCTGCATCTCCTGTGTGGGTGGCAGGACCAGTGCTATGGCATAGTGGTTAAAGCTACCACCTGCAACACCAGCATCACCAGTTTGAGTCCTGCCTGTCCCACTTCTGACTCAGCACCCTGCAAGTGCACCTGGGAAAGCAGCAGAAGATAGCCCAAGTACTTGGGCCCCTGCACCCATGTGAGAGATCCAGAAGAAGCTCCTGGCTCCTGGCTTCAGATCAGCCCAGCTCTGGCTGTTGTAGCCATTTGGGAAGTGAACCAGTAGATGGAAGATCACTGTCTGTCTCCCTTCTCTCTCTAATTACGACTTTTGAACACATGAATAAATTTTTTTAAATAATTATTTATTTAAAGGCAGAGTTACAGAGAGGCAGAGGCAGAGAGAGAGAAAGAAAGAGAGAAAGAGAGAGAAAGTCTTCCATCTGCTGGTTCACTCCCCAAATGGCCGCAATGGCCGGAGCTGTGCCGGGTCTTCCCACATGGGTGCAGGAGCCCAGGGACTTGGGCCATCTTCCACTGCTTTCCCAGGCCACAGCATAAAACTGGATTGGAAGTGGAGCATCGGGGACTCGAATAGGTGCCCATATGGGATTCTGGCACTGCAGGTGATGTCTTTACCCACTGTGTTGTAGTGCTGGCCCCCAAATAAATAAATCTTTAAAAGAAATAAAAAAAAAAATTGAAAAAAAGGTGATGTGATGTGGGACAAGTGTTTGGTACAGCTGTTAAGATGCTGCTTGAGATGCCTATTCCATTTTAGAGTTCCTGGGTTCAAGTCTTGGCTCCATTTCTGATTCTAGCTGCCTGCTAATAGGCACCCTAGCAGGCAACAGATGATGGCTCAAGTAATTGAGTCCCTGCCACCCACATGAGAGACCTGGATTGAGCTCTTGTCTCCTGGCTGCTGCCAACTCAGCCCCAGCTGTTGGGGGCATTTGGGAAGTGAGCCAATAAGTAGGAGATCTTCAGCTATCTCTGTCTCTGTGCATTTCATGTAAATTAAAAAGAAAATAGTGTGCATTTTTCATTAATTTTTTGAAGCCCCCTCATATGTATATAGAGATCACTTACATAGGCAACATCTAAGAAATGCCGAGTGGTATACTTAGAAAGTGCTTTGGAGTTCAGAGGATCACTGTAAATTTGGAAGAAGAGCTAAAATGTATTTTGTGTATTTGAAAAGCAGAATGTCAGAGAGGGGGAAAGAGAGAATACGGTATTTTCCATCCAAATGCCTGCAACAGCTGGGGATGGGCCAGGCCAAAATCCATCCAAATCCTCATGTGCATGGCAGGGACCCAAATGTGTAGACCATCATTTGTGGCTTCCCAAGATGTGCATTAGCAGGAAGCTGGATCAGAAATGAAGGAATTGCTTTTTAAATTTTTACTTGTTTATTTTTACGTATTTATTTGAGAGGCAGACAAAGGGAGACACAGAATCAGAGACACACAGAGAGAAATCCTATTTGCTGGTCTTCTCCCAATGCCCACAATGGCCAGGACCGGGCTGTGCTGAAACCAGGAACCAGGGACTCAATCCAGGTCTCCCACATGGGTGGCAGGAACCCAATATACTTGAGCTATCACCTGCTGCCTACCCAAGTTTGCATTACTAGGAAGCTGGTGTCAGGAGCTGGAACCAAGACCCTGTGATATGGAATGTGGGCATTTTTTTAATATTGAGTATCTTTTCAGGGTTTGCTGACCATTTGTATTTCTTTTGAAAAACGTCTTTCATGCCACGGCTCACTAGGCTAATCCTCCGCCTTGCAGCGCCGGTACCCCGGGTTCTAGTCCCGGTTGGGGTGCCAGATTCTGTCCCGGTTGCCCCTCTTCCAGTCCAGCTCTCTGCTGTGGCCTGGGAAGGCAGTGGAGGATGGCCCAAGTGCTTGGTTTCTGCACCCCATGGGAGACCAGGAGGAAGCACCTGGTTCCTGGCTTCGGATTGGCACAGTGCGCCGGCCGTGGCAGCCATTTGGGGGGTGAACTAATGGAAGGAAGAACTTTCTCTCTCTCTCTCTCTCTAACTCTGCCTGTAAAAAACAAAACAAAACAAACAAACAAAAAAAAACAACCTCTTTCAGATCCTTTTGCCCATTTCATTTTTAAAGATTTATTTATTTGAAAGAGTTACAGAGAGAGGTAGAGAAAAGAAAGAGAGAGAGGTCTTCCATCGCTGGTTCATTCCCCAAATGGCCACAACGGCTGGAGCTAAGCCTGTCTGAAGCCAGGAGTTCCAGTGGATGAAATACCTCATTTTATGTTTATATTGATAGACATAAAGACCTCATTTTATGTTGTTCTCTCTCATAACATCCTGTATATCTTCCTCATAGCATATATAACGTGTTTTCTTTTGTATATGTGTGTACAGAAAATGTTCCACACTAAATTTTTTTTTTTTTTTTTTTGACAGGCAAAGTTAGACAGTGAGAGAGAGAGAGAGAGACAGAGAGAAAGGTCTTCCTTTTGTTGGTTCACCACCCAAATGGCTGCTATGGCTGGCATGCTGCACCGAACCGAAGCCAGGAGCCAGGTGCTTCCTCCTGGTCTCCCATGCGGGCGCAGGGCCCAAGGACCTAGGCCATCCTCCACTGCATTCCCTGGCCACAGCAGAGAGCTGGACTGGAAGAGGGGCAACCAGGACAGAATCCGGTGCCCTGACCAGGACTAGAACCCGGTGTGCCGGCACCGCAAGGCGGAGGATTAGCCTAGTGAGCCATGGCGCCTCTTGGTAATTTTTAAACCATTTTAGTGGCTGGCGCCTCTTGGTAATTTTTTTTTGTTGCTAGTGTACGGCGTTATGCAACAGTGCGACCACTTACCAAACTGCGGATCGCGAGAGCGGGAACTGTGCCATCTGGGGGAACGCTCTCTCTGTCGCGGCTGCCACTCTACATAGGCACCGCTCTGAGACGCAGCTGGGCCACTTTTCATGATCTCCCATATATATATTGACTGGCGCCGGCACTGGGGCATCAGCGAATGAAGCCGCTGCCAGCAGTGCAGAAATCCCATATG